TATATATATATATATATATATATACATATATATATATATATATATATATATATATATATATATATATATATATATATATATATATATATATATATATATATATATGTGTGTGTATATATATATATATATATAAATTTCAAATATATCTTTATTATATATTATTATATATATATATATATAAATTTTTCACATCAAGTGATAAGTACACAATTTCTATTTATCACATCAAGTGTTAAGTACAATATGTCATGAATGTTGTATAAACTTCAGTTCAAGTTCACTTTTCTGGCTTTTTAATTGATTTTGATAACATCCTTAGTGAATTTGTTCTTTATAATTGGAGGCAAATTTACGAATGATGTCAACAAAATCAAAAGTGTCAAAAAAATCAATGGTGTCAACAAAATCAAGAGTGTCAACAAAATCAAGGGTGTCGGCCACTTCATGCTTAATTAAAATTATAGTAAAACTAGACAAACGTTTAGTCTATCTCATGTAATTTATTATGAGCCTAAGTTTACTGAACTTTTTTTTACACTTAGCAACTTTGACTAGTATGGTGAGGAAGATACGAATAGCAATTATCGGATTAAGATAAGCATTAGTCAATGAATATTTATAAATAAGCTCAAATGTTAATTGGGATAGATTTTTCAAAATTTTCTATCATTGCAGCAGTTGATGTATAAAACTTGCTATTTCTGACTGAAAATCAGAACAATCTGTCTCATAAATCTAAAATAAATTTTTTGCTTTTGTCTTATGTTTATCCATTAAACTATTAGAGAGTGAATGCCCACAGAAAAAGTTAAAATTGGAGAAAACGAAAGAAATAGCTTTAAGTTACCACTTAATTTATGTAATTATGCTGTCAAACTAAAGGTTGCACTGATATCTGAATTTTATTTCTGCTGTGAGGAGGGGAAAATTGTCTATAGCTTCATATCATTTTATTTACTTTGCGCATCCTCTTGATTGGTCACCTTTAATTTTATTCTTGTTGGCTGTTTTTGCGGCATCTTAGATAAGTGATCCACCCCAAAATCTCTAAAATTTGAATGGACGCCTTTAACCCTTTCATTTATTTTCCTGCAATGTCATTTGAAATATTTTTATACTGAAGCAGTTTATTTTCTTGGTCAATTAAAAAAAAAGAATTTGACACCAGAAGTTCAACAAATACAAAAATTGAAACCAATTTAAATGATAAGATCTTTTGCACAACAAAATGTGACAGCGTTTGTCATGTATTGTGGATAATCGATGAGAAAACTTAAAAACTTCTTTGATTTTTCTGTGTAACGGTGTTACACAGAAAAATCAAAGAAGTTCTTTTATGGCAGATCACTACTTCCTTTTAGTAAGAATGTCAATGTTTTATCAGGTTTTCTCATCTTGATGGTGAACTTGAAAAAAACATGGTTTGAATTTTTCTGAAAAATTTAATCATGGGTGGGAAAACCTAAGCAGCATGGTCACCATGGCAGCAAGATTCAAAGTTCCTTTTGTAGTTTCTGAGAAGTTTTTTGTTGTTGAAAATAAAAAACATCAAAAACAAATGATGAATCTTTTTTATTACGGTAATAAACGTGAGGAAAGGAGACATTTTTCCTTCCCCCTTTGCTTTCTAAGCCAGTTAACTCGCTTAGAAAGCGAAACTTTCTATAAGTTATCTATCTATAAGAAAGAAAAACTCTAATATAAGTTTTACATTACAAAATTCTGGGTTTATTTTAAACGAAAATAGAAAACTAGGTTACAACAAACCATTGTTTAAATAGCTTCTTTACAAATTTGCCCTCATTCATGGTAAGGAGAAAAACAAAAATTGTAAAATAACTGATTTCAACATTGTGGAGCAATTTAGATATGTTTATATGTGCAAAAATGTTTTCGGCAAAAACCCGGCTGGTACCCCCTCCCCACTTGAAACCTATTCGCTACTTTAAAGATGTGTATGCATCTATATCTCCAGAAATAATGACTGAACTACAAATGAAAGAAGTAAATCCATTCTTAATAGAGAAGTAGATGATATCGTGTTTTCTTAACTTGTCTATACTCTACAAAATTGATTTGACTCATCCTTTTACATTTGCTTACGATGAGAGAAGTTTCAGTAGACTAAAGATTATCAAAAATTTTCTGTATTCAACATGACAAAACAATATCTTTTTGGATTGACATTAATATTAATTGAATGCGAGCTTGCTAAGAGCATTGACTTTGAATTATCAATAAATCATTTTTCTTTTACCCAGCGGGTACGTTTATAGACGTCTTAATACGTCTATACAACACCTTATAGTTTTCACAAGTCCGTATGATGTTCTTGAAACGTCCAACGAATGTTTTGTACAAAGTAAAATTGAAATCTCACAAAAAAAAAAATTGTACAAACTAGCAGGAAAGTAAATTTTTTCTTAATGCTTGCTTTCAGTAATATGTATATTATGAATATATTTTTAAACCAAACTATTTCAATAATAATAAATAAATAACGAAGAACAATAAAATGACATTTGATACTGTTAAGTCGCAGCTGAAAAAAAAAACATCTTCACAATCTTTTTTAAAAAGGGTTTGAGCAATAGTCATGAACTAAATCTAAAAAAAATAATGCAAAGTAAAAAATAAAAAAATCATTGACTTAAAAAATATAATTCCTGAAACGAATTTTAAAAATCTAAAATGTGAAGTTGAGTGTTGGAACAAAAAGAGTAAAGAACAATCTTCAAAACATTTTTGAATAAAAAAATCCCAGATCATGTTTGAAAATTCCTAGATCATGTTTGAAATATTTATGAAGGTTAATGTGCTACCCCTAACCTCTGTCGCCTCCTACTTATTACCCAGCCTCCCACCTTAACCCCCACGACACTTAAACTCAATCCGCCACTGAATCAGTAGCAAACAAATTTAATCACCATTTGAATGAGTTTTTTTATACCATTTTGTGCTAAAGTATCGCACTCTGTTGTCAAAATCACACAGCGTACTTGAAAAAAAATCTTTTCTTTCTTGCTCTAGCCCAAGCTGAACCAAAAAGCATCTTATTTTTTTCGTTACTTTAAGTTGTGTTGCTGGATCCTTGTGTTGAAAGTTTTCTGCAGAGTTTGGTAGAAAATTTGATATTTCTGAATGAAGTTTATTGTAATCCATTTCAGCTCGGTCAGAAAGCTATTTCCATCTTCCCTTGTTGTTTCTAAATCGTTGGTGCGAAATTCTTCCTGCCATTAGCTGATAAAAATCTCATATTTAATTAATTCCAAATCTTGATCCGAGCTTAAGTCATTAATTTGAGCTGCTTGAAAAACTTTATCTGTTAAATTGCCATTAAGTTTAACGCAAATACCATCTGAAATAATTTGTCTTCCCATTGCAGAGTTTGTCACCAAACTTCTTGAAACAATTTTGTTGTTTCTCATTACTTTCTAAGTGCTGTTTTCAATTCTTCTTAAATTGAGCGCCAGATAATTTTTGATGCGATTCATTTTTGAATCTTTTTTCATTGTAACTTTTTGAATCATATCAGATAGTTCCACTAAAGTTTTCTTGCAGGTAATAGAAAAGGCACAAAACTTAACAATAACTCAATTGTATCTGATGGTTTAAATTTATATTTCAATTCAACTAATATATGATCTGTAAATGAAATGATGAGAGACCATTTGAAATATTTTTTCTAAAAGTTTCTCATCAAACGTTTCAAAGGGCGCAGTTGCTCGTTGAGATTGTTGGATGTGTGTACTCGTGGCGTTACTGGCTTTATATTTGATTTTTGGCAAGAACTGCATGCTTATATATTTTTTGGGCAAATATTTTTACGTCTGTTCTCATCATTTCTATTTCTGAGTAAATGCATACATAATGGCACTAGATTTTTCCTGCAGGGCTGTACCGTGAAATTTTTTAAGGGGGGTCGATTTTGAAGAAAAAAAAGGTAGTTTTAAAACACCAAACCAGTATCTTACTAAATTTACTTATAAATTTTTCGTGAAACATAAGTATATTTGTGTAAACAATGTTTAGATAAAAGAATTTATTGCTTTCCGAATATTTTTTCTATTTTAATACTGCATAGGCGCATAAGCAAACTCCTTGTTAGAAAATGGGTATCGATACATATATTAATAATACTTTGATAAATGGTTTAAATTTTTATTCAAAAACTAAACAGTTATCTTCTCAAATGAAATGCAATTTATCTTTTGGAATCATGTTTTGATTTCTGAAATGATATTATCAAGAAAAGGTACAATCAAGGCCCTTTATAATATTCATGGGGACTCTCTGCAGTTACGTTATTTCTGTAGACCTGTCTCATAGTGATTCTGGGAATCGTTGGTTCTACAAATAATTTATTTCCCATACGAGTAGCTTGTTGGTAAATTACGTAAGTTTCTTTTTCAACATTTTTCCGTAGATGGTTCAAATTATAGATTGTTTCTTGAATGTTACTGTATGCATATACAGTTGTGCACCCTTGTAACCTCACTGTTATATACGACAACGGGTAAAGTAAGCGGTAGAAATAACACCAATTATGAATTCAAACTTAGTGAGTGCATTAAGAAGTGAGTTAGCCTCTCTTTTTCCTTGTGCGTCCCAATTCATATTAAACTCTATATTGAACTGTTCTATATTAAAGCGTGTACACGAAATAATGTTTTAGGCACAAATTTCACATTGTTATTTTTATACCATTCCAAAGCTAGTTTACAATAATGAATAGAAGCTAAATCTGGCCAGAACACAGGTCTCTTATTGTGTGATTTAATGAGATGTAAAAGGCGTTTTTTTAATCACTCTTTAACATATATTTGACCTGAAAGTGTGGACTGAGAAATATAAGATGATAATTTTTTGCAACAATTGCAGATAGCTTGCCAAATCAAGACTTTTTTAGCAAGTTTGTCCTGTTTTATGTATTTAAATGTTTTTTCTACATTGGGCAATATCATAGACGGCACCAGGAATTTGCTAATGATCATACTTGA